GCAGGAATGAGTTGTGTTAAAGAGAAATTACTGGTGTGGCAAGGAGACAAGTAAGGTTCATGGGGAAGATATTAAAAATAGAGGAGGGTTATTGATACTAGATTCTGAAACAGGAAGGGAGTGATGTGTTTTTAAGTCTTGGGCTTGTCTACATGGATAGGATCAGGGATATTACTCCAAATTAACTAGAAGTATGAATTGCAAGGTGAATAATTATCTTGAGGTATGGACCTTGTTCACTTCTAAAGTGGCCCTTGTTTTGATTGGTCTTAATTCACTTCCAAAGTGAAGGATGCTGACCTAAATTAAGACCACTTTAATTCTAAATGACAAGGTCCAATCCACATGGTCTTAATGGGGTTTAACTAACCATTTTAATTAACATTATTTTCCCGAACTTCTCCATGTGGACCCAGCCCTTTGTGGAGTCAATGGAGCAAGTTGTTCACTCTAGACAAATTTCATTTGAATTTAGGTGTGAAGAAGTTTTAGTAAAGGGATGATCACAAGCTGTATTGGGTATACACTGTTTCAAATGTGATAGACTTCATCAACCTGGCAAAAGCAAAAGTGCGAATGTGAGCTTTGAATCATAGATAGGAATTTGTAAAATGTGGAAAACGCTTTCCTTTCTCAAAGTGGTATTGAGGGGCTTAATTCAGTGACTTGTGCAAAGCAGGGGAGCTTGACAGTTGTGTTACATATAACTTATCTTCCTTCTTTAAAATGCAGTATATTATTTCTTGCTGTTCTTCTAAGTATGAATGAAGATAAAGCAAACACGTAGTAGTAGTAGTAGCTTTAATAGTGGCTTGCTGATGCCAGAGGATCAAACCATAGTACTAAATGTCAGACAGGCTCCCAGGTACTTGAAGTATGTTCTGATGGTGGTTCTGGCACCAGTGTGGTCAATAGATCTGCTAACAACTGATTATTGCTTTGTCTCCTAGATGTCTGGTTTTCTTTTTTTCTTAATCAAATAAAACATTTTTTTTCTACAGATGGCTAATGAAATGTATTTAAAAACCTTTCATGTTTCTTCAAGTAAAGATTTTAAAACATTGTCATCTGTGAGTGGAAAGGAGGGTATTCCAAGATCTCGGTTAACAGAATCCTCAAACACTTCTGTTACAAGATCTCTAAACACTTCAAATAACAGATTTGTATCTTCACCTCATCCAGATTCTGACAGCAGGTTAGTGAATTTACTAGAAATCTCCTTTGCATTTATCTCCAAAGGAAATATTCTTACAGACTAAAGGTTACAGTGTCTGGCTTCTATAGGCTAAGGCACCAAAACCGTGATTGCTGTATAATCTTACGTGTTCTGAGCACATCCCATTTAATATCCTCTGACTGCATTCTGAAAGATGCAAGTAAATATAGCAAAATGCTGCTGAAGGGAGAGAGGAATTGTCAGCCTTATTTTTCATCAGGCAGCCTCCCATTACATGTAAATTTCTGTTGTCACTCATTGGCTCAAATTTGATGAGTCTTTTTTTAAATGCCATTTTAAAATAAGTGAGTCGTTACATTACAGTAGAAATAACAGTTAATTTACAAATAAATAAAGGCTATATTTATCCTGACTGATGGCCAGTCATTTATGTAGGCCCCACTAGAGAGTGGATGAATGCAGGAGTGCTCAACTTTCAGAACATAGAGCCTTGGAATCCAGCCTGCATGGGTTAGGGAAATTTGGCAGTGGGGGGAAGTAATGGCAGTACTGCCACCCCTCCCCACTACCAAAAATCCCAAGCCCTCTGGGGCGGGTCAGAGCCAGGCCACAGCCCTCTCCCTGCACACCCAGATTGGGGTCATGCCACCCCTCCCCCTTCCCTCTGTACAGCTCCATTGGGGTCAAGCTGCCCTTTGCCCCATGGGACCAGTCCACATCCCCTTCCTTCCTCCCCCCCCCATGGGGTCTAGCCATGTCCCA